TCCCAGACCCTCACAGTTTGGTCCTCTGAGCCTGTTACAATCTTCTTCCCATCAGGGGAGAATGCAACTGAATTGACAGAAGAAGTATGGCCCTTAAGCAGGCTGCCAATCTGCACACCTCCCTCAACATCCCACACCCTCACAGTGTTGTCCCCTGAGCCTGACACAATCCTCTTCCCATCAGGGGAGAATGCAACAGAATTGACATCAGAAGTATGGCCCACAAGAGGGCTGCCAATCTGCACACCTCCCTCAACATCCCACACCCTCACAGTGTTGTCCTCTGAGCCTGACACAATCCTCTTCCCACCAGGGGAGAATGCAACAGAATTGACATCAGAAGTATGGCCCACAAGAGGGCTGCCAATCTGCACACCTCCCCCAACATCCCACACCCTTGCAGTGTTGTCCTCTGATCCTGACACAATCCTCTTCCCATCAGGGGAGAATACAACTGAATAGACAAAAGAAGTATGGCCCTGAAGAGGGCTGCCAATCTGCACACCTCCCTCAACATCCCAGACCCTCACAGTCTTGTCACAGGAGGCTGAGACAATCCTCTTCCCATCAGGGGAGAATGCAACTGAATTGACTCCATCTGTATGGCCCTCAAGAGGGCTGCCAGTCTGCACACCTCCCTCAACATCCCAGACCCTCACAGTGTTGTCCCAAGAGCCTGAGACAATCCTCTTCCCATCAGGGGAGAATGCAACTGAATAGAAAAAAGAGGTATGGCCCTGAAGAGGGCTGCCAATCTGCACACCTCCCTCAACATCCCACACCCTCACAGTGCTGTCTGCTGAGCCTGACACAATCCTCTTCCCATCAGGGGAGAATGCAACTGAATAGACATCAGAAGTATGCCCCTCAAGAGGGCTGCCAATCTGCACACCTCCCTCAACATCCCACACCCTCACAGTCTTGTCCTCAGATCCTGACACAATCCTCTTCCCATCAGGGGAGAATGCAACTGAATAGACATCAGAAGTATGGCCCTGAAGAGGGCTGCCAATCTGCACACCTCCCTCAACATCCCACACCCTCACAGTCTTGTCACAAGAGGCTGAGACAATCCTCTTCCCATCAGGGGAGAATGCAACTGAATTGACTCCATCTGTATGGCCCTCAAGAGGGCTGCCAATCTGCACACCTCCCTCAAAATCCCAGATCCTCACAGTGTTGTCCCAAGAGCCTGAGACAATCCTCTTCCCATCAGGTGAGGATGCAACTGACCAGACTGCACCTGTATGGCCTTGCAGTAGCTGCTGTTCAACTGGCCACCCTTTCAACCCTCCTACAGCAACTCTAGCCAGCCTTGGGAATTTTGGCAAGAGCATCATTGATAACAATGCACTGGAAGGAATAAATGGCAATGCAGAAGCATAAAGGTGTGGAGTGCTGTGCACTATCACACTGCCAAAATTCCGAATCAACTCGACTCCATCTCCTACCAATGCCAATACATCCTTGAAGCCATCTTGTCCCTTCATTCTTATGTCAGATGTCATCAAACACTGTACAAAAGGTACTCACCCATAGCCATGTTGCAACAGTACTAAGAGCATCTACACCCTTCCCAACCATCCCCAGAAGACTTAATACCTCCAACCAGAATAGAATCTTTTCACTTCCAACAATAGCCTTCACCAAGCCCACAAGTTCCAAGTCAAATGCTGTCTTTTGCAGATGCTGGGCCCAGAATTGACTAGAGTAGGAGAGATGGTGTGGGATGCTCTCCTTGATTTTCTGCGACAGATCAGGAACTTCAGCATTTGCCAGGTATGAGCTTTCCAATCCACAGATGTTGAATCGAAGGTCATCACGGAGAATCTCCAATGTGGCAAAGGCCAGGTCATTTCCATCAGATGTGTCAATGAAGTAGACACCACTCCGTGAACGATCGATCAGGAAATCATAGAACGACGCATGTAGTGGTCGGACAGGAAAAGACCTATCTGTAATGCCACCCAATAGCGGGGCCATAGATTCAAGAATCGCAATTATGTCGTAGTGATCCTCCTTGCCAGGGAAGTGACTGCGTATCTTATTCAGAGTATTCAAGTGCGGAGGTTCAAGGGCTGACATGACCTGCTGCATCACGGAACGGAACCGTGTTAGCATGGTCCCGTCCTTGGGGATACTGTCTTCAAGAATTGCTCGGTACATGGCATCCAGCAATCCGCCTCCTGAACGAAGATTCAGGACATTGTCGACGCGTTCCTTGACTGATCCGTTCTTGACTGCACTTGGGTTCACGAATTCACAAGCCAGACGGGCCCATTCGAATAGACCCTCCGCTTTCTGGGAAATCGCATGAACTACTGCAGGCCCAACACCCCGAAGGTGGCCCACTTTTTTCATAATGTACAATCGGACGTCACGTTCCGATAACCCTGTAGAGACGTCGTCCAGCGAGGTCGACCTCACATGCTGAGGAGCATTGAGGACGTGCTCGATATCAGGCAATGTGCGGGACGTCACGAGAATGCGGACGTTGCGAGGCAGTTCAGCAGTTTGGGCTGACGCAAGCACAGACAGCAGCTGCCTCCGCGATGGTTCTGCCCCACTTTCGTCCAACGCGTCGACGACGACGAGTACATTCCCAACGATATGCCCCGAGATCTTTTGCAATGGTTCCGAAATGAGTCGCTTCCACTGAAGCACGATGTCAGAGGTAGTCTTGAGAACATCATCCTTCGCAACTGCATCCGCCAAGGCTCGCCGGAAGGCAGGATCACGCTCTGCGAGATCCCATGAAACTGTCTTGACTAACTGTTCTTCGAGGCGCTCGGCCTGCCAGTCACGAGAAAAGCAAAAACAGGACCCGACCCCTCCAATGTTCTTAAACCACAGAGCGATCGTGTGCGCAATGGCAGATTTCCCTTTTCCAGCTTGCCCGTGGAGCCAGAGGATGCGTGGCACATTTTCAGCGGTATCATAGATCCAGTTAATAATATCCGTGAGGATCTCCGTCCTGGTACCATCAAGGCATCTCTTGGTCCAATTGACACCCACGCCTCGGGCACGGGCGAAACCGTCCAAGTCCAGTTCTTCAAGTACGCGGAATGCATCGACCTGGACTCCCCGGTCTTCGTGGCGTCGGTATTGTTGCATCAAGTCGTCTAGCGCCTCGGTGTAGGCAATAGAAACATCGCGCGCCTCATATTCTACGTCCTTCCCTGATCACTTCCCTGATACCACGTTACATTAGCTCGGCTGGTGGGCAAGTGCGATTGACGTACAAAAGTCCACGGTCGCGGAATAATTCTTGACGAACTGCACCGCACCACTTGTCATGAGCGCTATCTTCGCGAAGGTTTCCCGCTTGCCCGAAATTTCCTTGAGGGTCATTTCTTCCGTGAGGAATTCGTACACCTTTCTGACTGTATACAGGAGGCTGGAGACCCGCTCATCTCGGGTCTGTTGAACCACAAACATCTATGTACGATTACGTAAGATGCGGAATGCATACAAGAGTGAGTACATACCTGAGAAATGGCTACTAACATTCCCAGCGCTATACGGGCGTATGGATGAATCTGGCACAGGCATGGGGTCATCAGATGGATGCAGAACAATAATTGCCTACCTTAGTAAGGGTAGTGACGGCTTGATTGAAATCTTTGAACGGTTTTAGATACGTATTGGGGAAGCTTTGGGTCTCGGCGACTGCGGTATTCGCACTAGTCGCAGGGTCGACACCCCCTACGCCCACATCCCTCACGGGACCCCTACCGAGGAATGTCGGCGACATGGAATCCATATTGCCGAAAGTTGGTTGACCGGCCGACCTCTGAGTCTGTCCAGCGAGCTTCCTTAGAGTTGTCGAAAGACTGAAACAGCATAGATTACATACTTTGTAGTTCGGAGCGACCTTAAATTGTCCGCTGTGTTCGTAAATCGCCCGATCAACATGGATGTCAGTGCTCCCTCCCGTGATGGGACTTGGGGAACTTGGCTCTGATGGATGAGCAAAAAACCCACATTGGCCCCTGAGAGGCACTGCCCAACGCTTGAATATCAGAGGATAAATGAGCAGTAGCCTGAGAAGATCCCTGCGATTGATTTTTGGCCGATTGACATACACCATCGCCAGAAAGGAGTGATCTGCATACCGAAGAAGCATCGAGGTCGGATGGATTTACAAGGCTGGTGCGAGGTTTCTTTGACTGCTTGCCGGTCATTACGAAGAAATGAGTATTTTGACACATACCATCGCTAGGAAAAATCAGACGACATACCGAAGGAGGAAAAGAGCTGGATGGGTTGGCAGAACTGGAGCGATGTCTCTTCAACTGATCGCTGTCCATTGATGTAACAATTGGGTGTATATTCCGTGTAAGGTTTGTGCGTTTGAATTGATGTTGCGAGTGAGGGAAAGACGAAGCTGAGGGAATGCTGTGGGCACGCTCGTGAGCGCCAACCGGCACAGCAGACACGTGGCAGCGCCCACCACTTGATGGGTGTGCCGTGAGTATCATGCAGACTTCAATCGTAGAACAGGAACTGACCTGACGATGCAGCACCGAATTTGTGCGGTCAGCATCGCTACTTCGTGCCTGCTTGCTGAGAAGCATCACATAGTGGGTGGTGTGCGGGATCACGACCTTGTTGCGCTACGCGAGTGAGCCTGAAGACATCACCATTCCCAACGGAGCAGCCATCTTCCTACGTCCGAATACTCACAGCCTCCGCCTACTGCCTCTGCGTTCCACGGCTGGTGATCGGAACACTATTGCTCTGCCAACTCACAACCCCGGCTTGCAGAAACCTTCGGGAGCCCCCTAATGCATCACCCGCGAGTTATCTGTCGTGCTCACCCGCGATGTCTCCACAGCTCCAATTCTTTAATTCGTTTTCTTCGGTCGCCAGTGCTGCTCGCTCCCCAGTTCCTCATCTTCACGCATTGTGAAACCATCTCAATCATCCTCTGAGCTTAGCCGAGGTACCTTCTGCTCCTTTGTATCAACCTCGGCTTAACAAGAAATGCGATTTTTAACAGTCACTTGAACCGTCCATGCGACGGGCATTCACCACATCTGTGCTCGGCATCCACACAGTCTATGCTACGCCGCAATGAATAAACCCAACTAAGGATAGCAGTACTGTTGTTGGGTATGAACAGGGTTTGCTGCTGTAAAATCTCAGACCGCAACTCAAATGCAGTTGTTCTACGATTTTGGTAGGGAGTGTCATTTGGCCTTCTTGGGGTGCCTTGCTATCTGACTGATTGCGTTCTCTTCCACTGACGATGTCAGCAGACACGGTACGATCGGCGACAAGATCATTCTCGCCATGTATCACTTCCTATTGAATCCATACCCTTCTACCCCCAGCGCTCCTCTCCTCACGGGTCGGTGGACAGACAGGCGTACAGTCAGCCGAGGACGGCTGGTTGCTTCTCAAACCAGCCCTCCCTAGAGAACTGGACATTTTATTAGCGCATTCGTGACGGCGTATTGCCAGACATTGACGTCGCAACCATGGCTGCGTCATGATTGAAATGTTTACTGCCTTGGATCCTGAAATTCCTAGGGGTGCCGTCGCCTGGAAACCACCTCGTACACTACTTACCGGAACTGATGCCGGCACCAGCCAACGGAACAACGATCACGATCGTCCTCGACAATCTCGCATATGGTTTCCATGCGATGTCATGACCACGCCCGATATCATCCAATGAAGCCTACCTCCACATTCCCTGTTTGTTCTGCTCATGCGTCTGCTCGAGGCATTCGACCATCTCCGGGTGGCACTTGTCAATGCAGAAGCACGCATCATAGGCGGGAGCGTCCTTATCATACATGAAGGTAACTGGGTACGTGCAGAAACGGCTGTGTGGAGACCAGAAGGCATCTCTGTATTGAACGACAAGCCTACCGCTTCTGACGAATTTGGCTTGGGTCGGAAGGAAGCCGTGGCCTTGTACGAAGAAGATGAAGATGAGGATAAGATCACTGTCGAACTAGACGAACATGGACCTCTGGACGGCGTTGTCGCAACGAGTCCTGTCGTCGAGTGCTTTGAAGACAACGATGACGAAGACGAGGCTGAGGAGGATGACTCTCCCCTGTTCGCACTCTCCTTGATAGACTTTGCACATACACGACTCGCGCCTGGATAGGGACCTGACTCGGGCATTCTGCTTGGTATGGCCACGCTCATCCAACTCATTTGCGAGCGGCAGGGTGCTGTTCAGGCATTGGATGGTGAAGTGTATATGTAAAGAAAGCTTACTGTCACGCATAAGTGCAAAACGCCGTTGCCATGGTATAACTGCATCCAGTGGATGCGGCGTTGAGCCGTACCTTATACCTCGTGGAAGGATACTTTCTAAAGAGTCTTAGCCATCGTATGGAGATGGTTGTACCTACTCAGACTATTACACCGAATCGCCAGAAGCTCGAAATATACAACAAGTCAGTATGGAACTGTCCTTAGTGGCCAGTCCTGGCACGATCGTCTAGCCTATTATGAGCTAGTAAGTGGAACAAAAAAACAAATACGGAGACAAGTCTGTCCAAAAAGCACCGACGTGAGATAATAGTCTGATCCATGGCAAGTCCGTATGTCCCCTAAAACCCCAATATTATCCAGTCTGAGCAGACCAACTACCAGCGGTCAGCCTGATGCTCCCATTGCTAACATCCGCACGCGCTCGACGTGTCCACGCACCTGGAATGTGTCCCATCCCCCACACCAACAATGGCAGGTCCGAACCCACCTCGAATCACTGACAACCACCACGATACCCTCCCTTGCCTTCGCAACTGACTGTGCGACTGCTTCTGTCCACACACGTGCTTCGCTGACGTTCGAAGCACGTAGTACGAGGATATCCATGCACCGTGGATAGGCACGGCGAACGTGGATGTGAGCAGTGTTAGAGCGTGTGGTTGCGTGACGGATGGATTTTGAGTTCGTGAACGGGGAGAGGCTAGGGGCCATGTCAGGCCAATACGGAACGGGATGGTTATGAAATGGTGGACTTGCCACGCTGTATAACCCTCCACCGCCGCTCTCGTTGAGAAGTAGGAGAATATTGCTCCATAGTACCCGTAGCACACGTTCTCACTTTGCTGTCGTCGGTGCGCCTTCTTCGAGGAGTTTTCTGGGAGCAAGATGGTGAATCGGAAGCGGAAGCTCAAGACGACTGAACAGGGGAAATACAGGGGAGATGTCAGGAGATATCTCATGTCGTCTGTGATGGAAGTAAAAGGAACGAGAAAACACGATACTCACTCCTTGCCTATCCTTAGCTCGTTTCTCACCTCACCAAACCTCGCCTGGCTCTCCCGATCTCGTAGCATCTCATTCCCCCCTTCCAATATTTGCTCCGCATACGCCAGCGCATGCCCTATTGACTCCTAACCCGCATGCTCTGTGGGAAGAGACAACGCCAGTCGCAGTGCAGAAAATAGGCCGAAAGTTAGTGCGAGTGGGTCGGAAAACTGCAGAACTTGTCGGATGAGCAGATGATACCGAGTTAGACACTGAACTACGAATCAGTGTTTGTCCTCTGGAAGGTAAATGGATGTACTTGGTGCCAGAAGGTAACTAGATATGTCGAGATTCCTGTCTGAGGGGTCCTCCCAGAGGCACTAGGAATGACTAGCGGTTAGGGACAGGTAGACTAGCAAGAAACAAATGACCGTACCTGTAGTTGAGCGGACAACTCTTGGTTGGTATCCCTGACCGATTGCAACACTTTCCCACATTGGCTGGATTGATGCAGTAGCTTCTTGTGATCAGTTAGTCAACGCGTTCGCCCTGTTATCCTGCAGCACCACGAACCAGATACACTCGCATTGAGGCGTGCGTGTTTCTAACAGGTTTCTTCCGTGGTCTACGCAGAGTCTGAATTCACGCTGTCGTTCCTCCGGAGGTAGAAAGAAATGCCTGGAAGAAGTGGGGTGAGCTGGGAGCCGGTCATATTTAAAAGAACGCGCCGTGTTCGTAAGAAGGATATCTTCGATATTGGGAAATATGACCGAAGTCGAATCTTCGCCAAGCATATCCATCAGACTCGAGTAGAAGAGCTTTCAATGTCCTACACTAGTCCAGCACCCGTAGCAACTTTCGAGGCTATTACCAACAACCTGTCGTCCCTCCTACGACCCCCATTCAAAGCGAAAGCCTCCACACTAGAAGCAACGCATGGGCTGTTCGTAAGACGACGCGCCAATCTGCAGGACCTGAACCTGACCGCAACGCAGAGAAAATGCTTTTGCAGAAGAACTACGACCTGTGAGTGCTACTAAGAGCAGGCGGTCCGCCATTGCGGCCGTCGACGTGCCCTACACATATACTAACAGAGTCCACAAGAAATTAGACCTCGATACCCGAATTCAGTCAACCAAACCACGATTGCACGCATGTGCGACAGTGCAGACACCATACCAAGGATTATGAGATCCAGGATGTGCTTAGCAGTGGTGATGGAAGTATTGCGCGACTCCCCAGGTGGGCCACATTTTATTCATGCCCCATTTTTCACACTGTGCCGTTCCCTTTTTCGCCTAGAGCTTCCCTAAAGCTACCTTTCCCGTCACTTCCAACAAACCCCCGTCGACACCCAGAAAGAACTCCCTAACTCCCGAAGTTACCGGCCTTCCTACTGCGAGACCTGTCGATGAGATCCTGCCCGTACATAGAATCAATGCTCTAACTCCAGAAGCTACCAACCTAGCCATGACAGCACTACACGAGACAGATATCCCTCCCATACCGGCACCTACGCATATACCCACTCAACCCCATCCCGGTACGCCTTCGTCGTCTTTCCCACCGCAACAGCTTCCCCAGGTCTCGTCCGACGACATCGAGGATGACGAACAGGAGGAACTTGAAATGGCTGACATCATGATCTCCATTGCAGACTCAGACTTGGAATGAAGCACTTCTAAGTCGCGTAATAGCACAAATGTGAACTCGAACTCAATACCAACGCGGCACCTCGAACGAGAGCACGTGAAAACCGTATGCTCACCTATGCGGCGTAGCACGAAGCGGAATATTGATGGGAATCAGGAGGCCACAGGCGAGGGGAATAGGGAAGAAGACGGTGAGTGATGTAGAGCCGCTACTGCATCTATGACATCAGAGGACATGTGTGCAATTAGCGGGGTAAAATGATCATTGGACAAAAATATGGGTATGAACTAATTTATGACAGTATGACAGCAGATATACCCAACATCTAAATACATTTTGAACCATCATTCACTGGGTGGAATGGAAACATTTGCACCATTCTTTGCCATGAACCATCTGACTTAAATCCAACTCTATGGAACAGCCTCTGGGAATGACTACTTTGGTCCCCATTGATTAAAATGGTCTCCTAAGTGTTGGGGGGATCCGAAGTAGTAGTTGTCCCTTTGGGCCTTTGATCCAGCCATCATCATGCAGCTTGACTGATGCACCCAGCACAGCATTCTGTTGCATGAACCCATCAACAAGTAGATTACTATTAAGCAGAGCATGTGAAGGGTCAAATGAAAAGCAAATGGGATATCCCATGACACCTGCACTTCTTGTTAAATGAAATAAGAACAAATAGAAGGTGGAGGTACATACCATCTGCAGGAGGGAATGGATAAAGTATGCTGGAGGGGTGGGATGCAACTATTGTGAACATTGCATTCTCCCAGACCCTCACAGTATTGTCCCCTGAGCCTGAGGCAATTCTCTTCTCATCAGGGGAGAATGCAACTGATCTGACTACATCTGTATGGCCCTCAAGAGGGCTGCCAATCTGCACACCTCCCTCAACATCCCACACCCTCACAGTGTTGTCCACTGAGCCTGAGACAATCCTCTTCCCATCAAGGAAGAATGCAACTGAATTGACTCCAGAAGTGTGGCCTTCAAGAGGGCTGACAATCTGCTCACCTCCATCAACATCCCAGACCCTCACAGTCTCATCTGTTGAGCCTGAGACAATCCTCTTCCCATCAGGGGAGAATGCAACCAAAGTGACATAAGAAGTATGGCCCTGAAGAGGGCTGCCAATCTGCACACCTCCCTCAACATCCTAGAGCCTCACAGTCTTGTCTGTTGAGCCTGAGACAATCCTCCTCCCATCAGGTGAAAATGCAACTGAATTGACTTCTGAAGTATGGCCTTTGAGAGGGCTGCCAATCTGCACACCTCCCTCAACATCCCACACCCTCACAGTCTTGTCCCTTGAGCCTGAGACAATCCTTTTCCCATCAGGGGAGAGTGCAACTGAATTGACCCAAGAAGTATGGCCCTCAAGTGGGCTGCCAATCTGCACACCTCCCTCAACATCCCAGACCCTCACAGTCTTGTCCTCTGAGCCTGAGCCAATCCTCTTCCCATCAGGGGAGAATGCAACTGAGATAACTTCAGATGCATGGCCTTGCAGTAGCTGCTGTTCAACTGGCCACCCTTTCAAACCCCCTATAGCAACTCTAGCCAGCCTTGAGAATTTTGGCAAGAGCATCATTGATAGCAATGCATTGGAAGGAATAAATGGCAATGCAGAAGCATACAGGTGTGGTGTCATGACCATGCATTCATCCTAAGTCCTCACTCACTCTGTACCCCTTTCCACTGGTCATTCGCTCACTCTGCACCAACTCCACCCACCCTCTGATGTTTACAGGTCATCTCTGCTCTGACTGCTGTCAGACTTGTACTGCTCTCCTACCAGACTGCATGGTGTGGGAATAGGCAAATAGAAGATACCTAGAAATAGAAATTATCAGTAAATGGGCAAGTATAGTGCTCAACCCACAAGGGAGGTTCTCTCTGGTGAAAGAAGTGTAGTAAAAATGTAAAAATGTGAACTGAAATGAATACTTAGCTCTGCCTGTCTAATACCTCTTGCCAGTCCTCCTGGCCCTTTGGGTACTCCCCAAAGTAATAATTCTAACTTCAAAAACTTGCTGAAATGCAAGACAAAATCACCCTACTACTGAGGGCCTGTGACATGAACTTGTTTTTTTTTGGTAAACTGAACTGGTGCAAACACAGCACATGTGCTTAGTCATCAATGTGGCTGCTCACCACCAAGTCCAGTGGTACAAACACAAAAACAAAAGCAAGAAATAAAACACAAATCCCCCAACCCCTATTTTCTTCCAACCAGGATGACTTCTCCTAGGGAACTCAAACTTGTTCCCTACATCTGAGGGGTGGTTTAGAATTTGACTGTCCTTGGTTGCTCTTCTCCTCACACAGACATCCTCACCCTTGCATCTGCTTCCCTTGGATATGGCTCCTCAACCTCTAACTTCTCAAACCTTGCACCTCCAAACACAGCTCCTTCCACCCAGAACCACCACCTGGCCTCTTGAACATGCACCCTGCTTCTTGAATCCCTCACCCTCCTTGCAGATGACCCATTCGACCCTCAATTACTCCACAGCCCCCAAGTTCCTTGAACTGAATGACCACAGAGGTAACTCTGAGCATGTGAGCAAGTGAGTAATAAATTGAGTGCAGAGCGAGTCAAAGTCTGCTCTTTGAGGCACAGTCTTTGCACAAAACAGTAATGCGGTGTAATGCAGTGCTGCAGCTGGTACAGCAGAGGTTGGCCTTTACAAGGCAGCTTGAAGACATATATGTACCTAAAAAAAACTCCTGCTCAGTCATGTATTTACCATCCTTATATGCATATGTGCTCTTGACTCCTGTTGTCCTTAAGACAATCTAGCACATAAGAAAAGTGAAAGAAAATTGAAACTAGATGTCAGGGTGAGTAGAATCACCCAAAGACTAGTGCAACTAGGTTGAACAAAGTTGCACAAGGTAAAATTTGTATTAAAGAAAACTATATATCAACATGCTCACTGGGACTTTTGCTATACTGTCCTCTTCATTCTCATTTTCACAGCCTCAGCCCTCTGTGCATGCATGCACTCAATTCCTTGTACTTTGTCTGGCACTTCGTCTGTGGGCCGAAGCCCTTGCACTAAGTATTGCTGAGTGACCTCAAGTCACCCATCTTGGTTCATTACTTTCTCAGTCCTAGAAACACAGTGTCTCAGTGTAGCATATGTTCGAAACAAAGTAAAATGTGTCACCTTGGATCTGTAGATTCTTGTGTCTCTCTGATAGACCAGTCTTCGACACCAATGGGTGTTAATGCTAACATCGCTTGAACTGAGCTGTCAGCCTTCTACCTCTAAGTCAGTTGGATGGAGCCTTGGTGCTAAGTGTCGATGAATGGCCTCGAGCCATCTGTCCTCATCAATTTCCTTGTCTTTCACACTAGGGACACTGTACCTCAGAGTAGCATACATACGGAGCAAAATAGAACCTATCACCTTGAATCCATGGGCTTCCTTGCTAAGCTTCTCTTCCAGTGCAGCTACCCTTGGGTCCACATCTTGTCATGCTCGTTCCAGCTTTGCACATTGCTCCTGTAGCAACCTTTTATGCCATGCGAGACCCCCAGTTTCTTCTTCGAGGGATTCTACTCTATGCAAACCAGCCACTGCTTTGTTCAATACCAACCTCGAGATGCTTTTGCAGTTGTGCTTCTTCTTGACCTTGAAAATCTTACTGTCATCCTTTGTCACCTGCCCCTCGCATTCCCTAACCAGTGTAGCATACCCAGCAATCTGGTCTTTGTGAGAGAGACTCCATGCATGAGTCTCTTTGGTTTGTTCTTCCTGGCTCCTGCTACAGCTCCATCTGGTGGTCTTCGCCTTCAGCAAACTTCGAAACTTGAAACAAAAATGAAACCCCAGGCCATCAAGCCTGGTCAGCACATCTCCTAAGTCCTTTGCATGCTGCATGTCCTCTCATATCATCAAAGTCTGTTGTGGTAGTTGCAAATGCGATCGACTTTGTCTCATGTAGTTTCGCATTGCTTCGTCATATCTGTCACTCACCGTTCCCAGCCTGCACATGTTCACCTCAGGCATAGCTTCCATTCTGAGTGAAGTGAATGACACCACCTTTGAACCTTTGCCCCACTTGTAATAAAACTGTCAGATCATGTTGTGTTGCTTTGATTCTTCGGTCTGTCATAGATACCAGATTTCCCTATAGTAACATAGCTGTAAGTGAAACAACACAAAACAAAAGAGAAAGAATGAGCTGTTGAGCTCAGTGCATGAATCTCCTATGGATCTCCTCTGTTGAACATCTGCTGTTGCTTCAAACAACCATTGTTCCATGGCAGACCATGGTGCTGATGTTCATGCTCCTGTCATCTCCTGTAGTGGTTTGTATGTACTTTGTGCTTCTAAGCTCGATTGTCTCTGCTTGTCCACAACATCTCCAACACAGAGCAAAACATCCTGGTACCTCTGTATGACATCCAACATGGGGAAGGTGTCTCCCCTTGCTAGTTGTAGGGACTCAGTTGTAGATTGTCTTGATCCAGATCTTCATATTGTAGGTGTGTCAATGCTCAAAGATTCATTGATACTCTGTAAAAAATTGTGTTCTCTAAAACAATGAAGTCATAAGTAAAGCACTTTGAAGAAAAAGCTGAACTTTGGGCCTTCCAGCCCACTTGGCATGGCTTCGATGCTCCTCACTGAACATCCATCTTGTCATGATTCTGAACTTTGGTATTGTGCTGCTACTTGTAGCAGCTCTTGCAAGTGAGCCTGTAAGGTTCCCTTGAATGCTTCTTGTCGGGAATCTCATAGTTGTTGTGGTTGTCCTGTCATGTATCAACACGTTCCTTCTTCAGTGTCATTGTCCACCCTAGAATAATGTACTTGTAAGTAAAAAGCTGCAAAACAAAAGTAAAAACCTGAGCCATCAGGCTTCATATCCATGCTTGTCAGATGTCATATCCTCAACGATTGCCATGGTAGTTCAAGTCGTAGTCTTTGCTCTTGTCTTGTCATACTTCATTCATAGTTAGCTGTAGATTCTTGAATCGCAGTTGCCAGTGCATCGGTCAT